TGTTGATTATTTAAAATGATTGTGTTAAAAGTACTCAAAATAATATTCCATTTCTAAGAGACATACACAAAGTGTTAATTTATAAAGTTGACATAAATGTAACACATGAAAGTGTTATAAAAATAATAACATATCAGTGGTATGTTAATTTTACATTGAAATAGTAATCAAAACATGGTAATACAAGAAAATTTTAACATATGGACGCACAAATTTTTACTGTGTACAATATAAATATTGATTTGAATTATATGTTTTACTGAAACTAACCAAATATAAAATATTGTTATTTGTATTTTATTTCTTAATTACACTGAAAAAAATGATCTTGCAACTACAGCAAAAATTTTTTGGGTGCAAAAAATTAGCTAAAATAGATAAATGATTAACAAATACTGTGATATCGAATATGAGTAGTTATACTAGGGGGGTTCTAAGCCAGGAGCAATGAGGGGGGTGCGAGTGAAGAGGGGAAGAGTTTGAGGGAGAGGGGGTAATTTTGGAGGAGAGGGGGTAATTTTGGAGGAGAGGGGGTAATGACGTCATCGTTTTGTAGGAGAGTGGGTAATTTTGGAGTGGAGGGGGTCGTTTTGGAGGAAAGGGGATAATGTTTTCTTAGAATTCGAGGGGGTAATGTTTGGTATCAAATTACTCATCGCTATTTTTAAAACAAAAGCCCTTAGCAACAGGCAGCCGTCATTGCTCTTTTTAGAACAAAGGCCCTTAGCAACAGGCAGCCGTCATCGCTATTTTTAGAACAAAGGCCCTTAGCAACAGGCAGCATTTGGGCGCCGTCATCGCTATTTTTAGAGTTTGCAGGTTCGTGCAGGTTTACGGATCGCTATTTTTAGAATACAGTCATCGTTATTTTAGAATGACAAGCGAGGTATATAAAGCAAGTGAGAAAAATATGAATCTTTAAAGTCATTCGCAATGGAGAAGGAGCGCGATCTTACCGTACAAGCAGCGAATATCAAAACGTTGAGAGAGTTCCTCCCATGGGACTACGAGTGCGACGAGTACCTCGATTTTCTGAGGAAAAAATGTCGCAAGAAGCAACGAATCGGAGTAATTCACTCTTTGGTGGCGCGAATAGTGCGTTTGGAGGGTGTGAGGAAGACCATTCAAGAGCGTTTTCTACCCACCGGCGGCGGATACGGAACCCAGAGAAGATTCACCTGGAAAGAAATTCAGACGGCCTTCAGGAATCGAATACTAACCGGTGCGGTTATCAATTCCGACTACATCAATCCACGCGAATTTTTAGAAGAGATAAAAAATATGATCATCGAGCGGATCCAAAGCGTTATGGTGGAACACAACAGCGTCAAGATCAACACCGCATTCAACGGGGAATTCACCGCAGGTGACAAGACTGCCGTAAAGACCATCGCAACCAAAAACTGCGAGCTATTTCCAACAACCGATTTACAAGAGTGGTACACGAAGAATGTGGTTGACGTCATCTTGGCATCTCTGGAGGAGTTTCAAGAACGCGACAGCGGATGGGCGTTGTCACGTATCTTGGATCTCACCATCAACGTCAACAAATTCAATCCTCTACGCGCGGGATGTCATATCCAGTTACCGCAGAAAATTATGCTAAAAAGGGCGGTGATAAACGTGCAATCGACGGACAATGCGTGTTTTGCGTGGGCAGTCGTCGCTGCGTTACATCCTGCGGAAAAACACCCGAAAAGAACAATCGAATATCCACACTATTCAAGTGCTGAATCTGTGTGGTATAGAGTTCCCCATGACGCTTCCGCAAATATCAAAATTCGAGAAACTGAACACCATCTCCGTCAATGTCTTTACCATCGAAGACTCCAAAATCATCCCTTTGCGCCTCGCCGACGAAAATTCTCCATAAAATGGAGAAGCATGTCAACCTTCTCTACGTGCCTGGAAACAACGAGGCACATTTTGTGTGCATCAAGAATCTGTCTCGGCTAGTGAGCTCACAATTAAGCAAGAAAAGATGTAAAAAATACATTTGCGATCGGTAAGTAAAAAAAATACACGTATACAATAAACAAATATTTTTATTCATAATGTTAATCATACAATTTATTATATGTGTCTACACTATTTCCAGACGAGTGACAAATTGTCAGTCCACAGCGTCGACTGCGGAAAGATGAACGACTGCGCAGTCATTCTTCCCAACGAAGACAACAAGTGGCTGACGTTCCGCAACTACAACCGGAAGGAGCGGCTCCCGTTTGTGGTGTACGCCGATCTGGAATGTACGCTGGAAAAAGAGGAGGGACAAAACCATATCACATACGCCTACCAATATCACAAGGCGTTTAGCGTAGGATATTATGTAAGTTGCGCTTACGATAACTCATTATCTAGTTTTAAGTCTTATCGCGGTGAGGATTGCGTAGCGTGGTTCGTCAATGAACTCCACGATTTGGCACACCACGTGAAAGCGATCCTTACCATCGTTGTCCCGATGGCGGATCTTACGCGGGAGGAATCGGAGGAATTCCGTAGCGCCGTAAATTGTCACGTGTGCGAGAAACCGTTCGCACCGGAAGATACGTGGGTGCGCGATCATTGTCATCTCACCGGGCGCTACCGAGGTCCCGCGCACTCGTCGTGTAATTTAAATTATAAAGATTCCCACGTTATCCCGGTAATTTTTTACAATTTATCCAGTTACGACGCACATTTCATTATTAAAGATGTTGCCAATGCCTTTGAAGGCAGCATCGAATTGTTACCGTTGACAAAAGAGCAATACATTTTATTCACTAAAAACGGTATTAAAGATACGGAGGATCAAAATTCCAAAATTTGCGTCAAATTACGGTTTATTGATTCGTTTAAATTTCTCGGCACCAGTCTGCAAAAATTAGCATCGTATCTGACAACGGACAAATTAAAAATTTCACGTTCCGAATTTAGTTATTTATCCGCGGAAAATTTCAATCTGCTTACGCGGAAAGGTGTTTCCCTACGAGTACATCAACAGCGTCGACAAGCTCCGGGAGACACACCTGCCACCGCGCGAGTCATTTTACAGCTTGCTGATCGGTGACGCAGTATCCAAGAGCGATTACGCGCACGCGACAAACGTTTGGCAAACTTTTTCGATCGAAACTCTTGGACAGTACAGCGATTTGTATCTAAAAATGGATGTTCTTTTGTTGGCGGATATTTTTCAAAATTTCCGAAACACGTGTATAAAGAGTTACGGTTTAGATCCCGCACAGTATTACACTTTACCGGGATATACGTGGGACGCTATGTTGAAGCACACACGCGTAAAGTTCGAGTTGCTCACAGACATCGACATGGTCCTGTTCGTTGACCGCGGTATACGCGGTGGTCTTAGTCAATGCTCCAACAGATACGCTCGCGCCAACAATAAATATATGCCCTCTTACGATCCATCGAAACCATCATCGTACCTTATGTACTTTGATGTCAATAACTTGTACGGTTGGGCAATGTGTCAACCGTTGCCCTATGCCGATTTTCAGTGGGTTGAAAATGTCGCGAGCTTTGATGTAATGTCCGTAACATCCGATTCGGCTACCGGTTATGTGTTGAAAGTCGACCTTGCGTATCCGATGAATCTTCACGACGCGCACACTGACTTACCGTTCTGCCCGACAAGCGGGAGGTCAAGTTACTTGCTACGCTGTGCGATAAGCAGCGATACTTCATCCACTACCGTAACCTGCAACAATGTATTCGACACGGGTTGCAGGTTACAAAGATTCATCGAATATTGCAATTCGCGCAATCTCCATGGCTTCGAGGATATATAGAATTAAATACATAATTTTGGACACTCGCGAGCAATGAATTCGAGAAAAATTTGTGCAAATTGATGAATAACGCGGTTTTTGGCAAAACTATGGAGAATGTGCGAAATCATATGGATGTACGGCTCGTTACGCAGTGGGAGGGACGATATGGAGCGGAGGCTATGATCGCCAAACCAAATTTTCATAGCCGAAGCGTGTTCTCGGAGAATTTAATCGCCGTAGAATTGCGGAAACTCGAAGTGAAATTCGACAAGCCGATCTACGTGGGTATGTGTATTCTCGACATATCCAAAACCTGCTTGTACGAGTTTCACTACGAGTACATGGCGCCTTTATACCGCAACAATTGTAAAATTATGTACACCGACACAGACAGTCTGATATACTTTCTACAATGCGAGAACGTATATCACGATATGAAACGCGATCTTTCAAAATTTGATACGAGCGATTACTCCGAGGACAACGTTTACAGTATACCGTGTGCGAACAAGAAGATACCAGGTTTGATGAAGGATGAGAACAACGGCGCGATCATGACGGAATTTGTCGGACTGAGGGCGAAAATGTACGCGTTGAGAGTCACCGACCAAAAAGACACCAAAAAGGTCAAAGGTGTAAAAAAGAGTGTAGTCGCCAGAACTATAACGTTCGACAATTATACTCGTTGCCTCAACGATGATATCGAGCTGACGCGGCGTTAATCGTGTATCCGATCAAAGATGCACGAAGTGTACACCGTGTCAAAGTCGAAGCTCGCGCTCAGTCCGTACGATGATAAGCGCTACATCGTATCCGGTTCCACCGATACTCTACCGTGGGGACAATGTAAAATACAATTGTAGTATTAGTATTTATGTATAGTTTATTATTATGTT